CCCCGCGCCCAGCGCGCCCTCCGTCGGGTCCGGCCGGCGTCTTCGGGTCCCGCGGCTTATCCCGGCGACGCCAGGCCTCGCGGTTGGAGCATGGGACCCAGAGGGGATGCCCTGCGCGGCGGCGGCGAGACCGGACTAGCCCTGAGCGCCCGGGGACCGCAATAAACCCTGGCTGCTGGGATTCCGGCTGTCGGTCTGTCCTCCTCCCTGGGTGGCACAGTGCCACCGACGAGCGCCTAGAGAGAGCGCGGCAGCCTGGCCAGGCTCCACCGCAGCGCAGAGCCAAGGGACAGCCGCGTGGTTAAAACTGATCCACCCAACCAGACACAGTGTCCCCCAAAGCAGGCAGCCTCAGACCCTGTCCAAAGCCAGTCTAGCCGGAGAACGGTCCATTCATTCACCCAGCTCGCACCTTCCAGGCCCCGTTTTCTTCTACTACCTCTGCCCTTTTTGATCCCAAGTCCCGACCTAAGTGTTTTTTGTTTGGTTTGGTTCGTTTCGTTTTGAGAGAGGGAGACAGAGGTGAAGACCGATTCAAGTAGTCTAGGCTGTCCTGGAACTGCCGACTGTAGCCAAGGATGACCTTGAACTCTTCATCTTCCTGCTTCTGTGTCCCAAGTGCTGGAATGACGGGCAGCCCAGACCCCTGGCTTGTTCAAGCAGGGAATAGCAAGTGTTTCCTTAGCTCTTACTGTGTGCCTCACAGAACGCTATCTTCAAGTATCGAGACAGCTTAAGGTGGGGCAGATAGGATTAACCTTATTTTACAGACGTGCAACTCAAGGATCAGAGAGTGCTTGGTAGAGGCTAGATCCAACTCCACGGCTGTCTAAAGGTTTCCACTCAGCGGCCTTTCTTCTCTTCCGTTGGTTTATTTTTATCTCTTGTTTGTTTTTGAAGCCTTTGTGAATGGTAGGCAGGGGCTCCACCGCTGAGCTGTGTTCCCAGCCTGGGTTCGCTCTTGGTTTACTTCTGACTTGCTGCTCTTCTGCTCCACACATCTGATCCCATGTTCTAGAAGCTTCAGAGCTCCCAGGCACCTTCCTTCAGAGGTCTGCTTGGCTGCTGAGGGGGTGCCGAGGTGGGCTCCCCGCAGCCCTGCCGTCTTGGGGTCAGCTCCCTGGCCCAGACATCTTGCATTGTTCACTGAGCTCTTCGGTGTTCCTGGCTCAAAGGAGACACTGAACCACCTCCTCTCTTGGGCCCCAGCTGGCCTCTTAGGGGCTCCCCCTTCCCTCCTCCTTGCTCCCCTCCCCACACACACAGCTGAGGAAGCCTGTCGCTGTGGAAAAGACTAATTAACCAATAAATCAGTCTTGCTGGGTCCCAAGCTGCCTGCGTCTGCCCTGCCTTTCCACGTGTCAATACCGCTGATTAGTTTCGAGCCCTCACACACCTCCTGTCTGCTGCTGCTGCGCGGAGCACCCTGGGAAGGGCTCTCCCTGTCAGCAGGCAGCTTGCTGCTTGGTGATCATTACGACCTGCCACCTGCCGATGACAGAGAAGTCAGAGGAGCAGGAGGGGGCTGAGATCAGCCAGGGAGGTAGTGGCTGCTCCAGGACTCAGTCAGGCCTCCACGCTGGACCTAGTGTCCCCCCCCCCCCCCCCGAGATTCTGCCAAGGTTCCAGGCTCAGTGAGAAGGTTCCCTGAAAGCAGGGAGAGTGTCGTTGCCTCTGTGTGGCATCCATGGTGGCTGTCACTGGAAGGCAAGGGGCAGTGCTCCATTTCTTTGGGAACAGGGCGGCAGATAACCTGACCAGACACAAGCATAAATGAGTAGCAGGTAGTAGTATCATTTAAGTAAATGTGGAAGTACCCTAAGTATCAGCCCCTGAATGGAATATGGAACCCATACACTGGTATATCATTCCATATATAAATAGAAATCTAAGCCACAGAAGACAGGCCTTGAAAATAGGCAATGAGACATAGATTGTATACCTCTGCTTACATGAAGTTCCTGGAATCGGCAAATTTATTAAGACAAAACCCAACTTGCTGTTTGCTTAGGTCTGGGGGTGGCAGGGAGAATGGGACAAGAATGCTCATAGGTGCTGAGTTTCTTCTTCTGGGGTTGGAGGCCCTAAAACTAGATCGGTAGGGCTCAGGTGGTAGAGAGCTTGCTTGCTCGGGGTGCAGAAAGCTCTGGGTGCAATCAGGCTTTGAGTTCACTCCCCAGAAGGTGGTAGCCTACACGGGACTGTAATCTATAAGCAGAAGTTTGCAATCAGTGGGCCAGATGTGGTGGCGCACGCCTTTAATCCTAGCAAAGGGGAGGCAGAGGCAGGCAGATCTTTGTGATTGATCTACATGGTGAGTTACAGGCCAACTAGGGTGTAGTAACAACCTGTCTCAAAAAAAAAAAAAAAGCCAGGCAGTGGTGGCCCAGGCCTTTAATCCCAGCATTCGGGAGGCAGAGCCAGGCGGATCTTTGTGAGTTCGAGGCCGGCCTGGTCTACAGAGCGAGTTCTAGGAAAGGCGCCAAAGCTCAGAGAAACCCTGTCTTGAAAAACAAACAAACAAAAAAAAAAAAAAAAGAAAAGAAAAAAATAAGGATTGCCCTTGAGTGTGTATCAAGTTCAAAGCCAGCATGAGACCCCCATCTCAAAAAAAAAGTGGGAGGGAGCGGGCAGAGAAGACGACTCATCAGATAAAGGAGCCCGCTGCCAAGCCTGACAACCTGAGTTTGATTTCCCAGAACAACCCACGTTGTGGAAAGAGAGAATCCATTCCTACCCGTTGTCCTGACCTTCACGTGTGTGGTGGCATGTTTAAACATGAACACATTCTCCCTGCACATACACTCACACAGATAGACAGCACAGTTAAAGCAAAAATAAGTGGGATGTTATGGTGCCCAACTTTAATTCCATCACTCGGGAGACAGAGGTGAGCAGATCCAATGTGAGTTTGAAGCTGGCGTGGTCTACGTAGCAAGTACCAGGCTAGCCTGGGCTACACAGAGAGCTCCTGCCTCGAAAGGCAAAAAGTAAAATACAAGTAGATCATCACAATACTGGGCAACCATGAGACGTGCCGGCACCATTGAAGTGTGCAGATAAAGTGGGTGTAATCGACATGTAAGTCATATTTCAATCAGTACATTTGAAATACAAAACTAAGGTTGGTCTGGGACCCAACTAGACCCGGGGGCCATTTTCAGAGCAATCTAGCAACTTTGAGTAAATACAGGAAGGGTGGCTGAGAAAGCTGGAGGGAAACCCCCAGGCTGGCCTAGAGGAAGCGAGTCTAGCCACCCAGTAGTTCTCTGTAGGTCCAGGCAGATGACCCAACTAGACCTTTGTGAACCAGAGAAGATGATGGTCTCTGAGACCCTTCACAGTGGCCTGAGACTCCGCTCAGCTGGTGGAGGACCACTGGACAGCCAGACCCCTCGGGGGCTTGCAGAGACCTCCTGCTTTTGAAGCAGGACTCTGGCTCAGTGCAGCCACCCAGGGGCCTGTGGGCTGATGAAGGGGAGCCCTAGAAGCTCGGCACGGTGTAGGCAGGCCCTGGGTGGATGCTTGTATGTGATGCAGGACAAGGTGCCAGGGAAGAGAAGGTTGTCCCCGCCCCCTTCCTTCTTTTCTTTAGCCACAAAACATCAACCGCAAGCCTGGCTTTAAGAGAAGCCAGAGGTGGCCTGAGTTCATCCTGGCTCTGTTCGCTGGGAGCCTGGCTAGAGAGCTAACTCCAAGAAAAGGAGAAGCACAGTGACATGAAGGGTCAGCCCAGCAGAGTCTAGTGGGATGGACCAGTAGCCCATTGCTGGGGAATCAGAAGCAGGATCACAAGTTCAATGCCTACCTAGGCTATAGAGTGAGTTCAAGGCCAGCCTGGGCAACTTAGTAAGACCTGTCTCAAAAAGTAAAGAGAGAGCTAGGGATA